TTTTATTTTTTAGATTTGATCTCTATTATTTAGATTATTATTTATTTTATTTGAGATAATTTATAAAATTATATTATTTTTTTTAATTTCATTCTCATTCAACTTTTTTATTTGTAATATTTATTCCTCATTATTCTAATAAACTTGAAAAAAATAAAATATTAATAAATTATTTTCCAGCTTATTTTCCATGATATAATCAAATACTGAAAAATATTTTTCTGCTTATTTTCTATTACAATACCAAACATTATAAAATAATTTATTTTCCTGAAATTTATTTTCTTAAAAAAATTACTTTACATTAAACAAACAGAACGTAAACCTCAATGATTTTTCAGAATATCAACAATAATGTGGAGGACCTGGAAATTATCTAAACCACAATCATTATTTGTCTTTTTCTATAGCACCATCGAGGTAGTATTGGAAGGCCTTGAGGTAATAGAATGGTTACGTCTTGGTTACTCTACTTGCCTGTCTTTGCATTTCTTTTTTTAGCATTTCCGAGCAAACCATTATTCTGTTTTTAAAGCAGCAAAAAAATTGCAGAAGTTAGCGCCGCTTGCTTCTGTATTTAGATAATGTGATGAACCCTTTTAATGATCACTGATTATGGTTTGACTGCATTCGTCTGATTTTATTTAAACTGAATTATTGACCTCTTCATTGAATTTGTTGATATTTTAATGTCCGGATACATTGTGCTGCCAATTAATCCAACTTAGTTAAATACCCTTCAATGAAGCAAGGGGTAAGAAAAGCTTAATTAAATGGATGTGGAGTTTTTTTCCATGTCGAGTGACAGTGTGTTCCATTCTCAGGTAGAAATTACAGACACCATTTGAATGTCATGCACAAATAGCTAGAACCAAGTAACTAACATACATGTAAAGCTGTCAAGATGGCAGCAACCTAAACAAACTAAAGAGAGCAAGGAAAACGAAGGATGAAAATGTTTAATGGTCCTGGAAAAGAAGGGAGATTTTATCGCCAAAAACATTGCTGCTGGCATAAAAAAACAGGGGAAGGGAGTGCAATGTGCCGGCCACACCTTCAACAATTGTAAGGGTAAAATGCAGCAAAGCAGGTGACAAAAAAGGAATTAAAAGAGCTACAGATAACTCAAACTGTCATGCCCTTTACTGTGTAAGATGGAACAACAACCTAATTTTCTATATAATGTTGAGAGACCAATACAATGCAATGGTTCCTTAACAGGTACTGAAATGGAGGCAAAAGCAACGATTTTATCAATTGAAGAGAAAGGAAAGGAAACTAAAGGCTGTAATAGGTCTGCACTATCTGTTGTGATTTCCTCAACAATACTATAGTAAAAATCTATGATTTGTTTTTTGCAGAAAAGGAGGCGATGACCCAGGAACAAACTCCCCGACTCTAAGCAACTTCTACACGGATCCAAGCTGAGAAACAATTCGCAACAGGTCAAAAATTCTTAATTCAACATGCAGCACCTTAAATGAACATGTCAAACCAATAAACAATCTAATTCTCTTGTTTTACGCGTAGAAGTAATAACCTTGATTGTCTGAATCATTTCATCAGTCAACCTAGCAGCTAACACCCAAATAGAAAAATCTTCAATATACTGTTATTTTTTGTTCTTAAACATTTTTCATTTCATTCTGGAATGTATTTCTTAAAATAACCTCTAACATGAGTTTAAACAGCTCCTTTTAGACAAATCCATATCACCAAGCATATATTTTCCAGCAAAGCAAAACAACACCCCAATCTTAAGCTATCATGCAAACAAAGAATGAGCATTGACTAATTCAATTTAAGTTCCTTCTACAACAAGATATTTAAACAAATTTAGTAGAAAATAACTTGAAAGAATGAACAAAACAACTAAGAACCAGAACAATGCCTAATAAAAAAATAAGACATGAAAATACCCTGTCAAACATACCTTGAAAGTGGATAGCAAAGCCAATAGTCTACTGGATTAAAGATTCTAAAAAGGCCTACAAAGGATAAAACAACATGTAAAAGAAATATTTTCAGATGTATAAATCAACGTATCAGCCAAATTCGCACCTAAATTCAAGATGAAAAAACCACAAACAGAAGCATCAATCAACCTCAAATGTCTCACCTTAAACAACCTATTACACCAGTCCAGGCAGGACTTTTTAGCAGGGACAGCACAATCTAAACTTTAACTACGATACTAACAAAAAAATGGACAATGAACAATGCTACAAATGATAGTTCAACAAAAGCAAAGACAACGCAACCCATTTGACTGAAAACAACATGTAAAATCCTTTGGATTTGAGCATCAAAACATAGCCTTTTAAAAGAAAATAGGAAAAGTTATTTTTCAAACTTAAGGGGGAAAGGAAAGCAAAGTCAATAGTCAAAAGGAATCAAAATGCAGAGAAGGACCACAAAGGAAAAGGCAACATGCGTAAGAAAAAAATTAAAGATAACTAAAAGGAGCTAAATGTTAAAAGTGCAGTAGAAGGACAATGAACAAATTTGTCTTTCACATGTGATTGACCATAATTTAAAAGTAGAAGGCTGGAAATAAGTATTGAGATGTGTAAATAACCCTCTCAGTAGCAAGTTTAAATCTTGCAAACCCAAATTGATTGGAATTTGGAAACCAAAGCTGAGGAAGAGGAGAGAATGATCTCAAAAACTCACCTCTGTCCTAGCAGAACACCCGAGGAAAAGTGACGAGCCTGTATCCAGTGACTGTTAAGAGCGAGTTCTTAAAAAAAAAATCCCAACAGGACACCTAGTAAAGTCAGAACTAAACAAACAAATCAGCCCCCTCAGTCCGTCTCTATATTTCCCACCCAAGAAAAAAAAGTACAGCACACTGGCAGCAACATGCCAGCCTTAACGTGCATTAAATGCCTAGCTATAACAGCTTAAAAACGTACTCCTCATCTCCTTTCATTAGCATGCTGAAACCAACCTACTCTCAAATCTCAACTACTTCAATGAGACATCCAGTGCATGTCAGGACCTTAATTCCTCGGAAAGAAGCGTGCCAATACAGAGAACTGCATGCAGACCCGTCATATACAAAGAAGAACTACAAAGACCCTTTTAAGCCAAGCCAAGCCAAGCCACCTAATAAACAAAGCTTCACAGTCAAAAGCCATTCCACAAAAAGCCATCAGAAAATCAAATCCAGAAAGCCTCAGCATACAAATACAAATAAAAACACAATGTGCAATTAGCTGCCTAGGGAGCACTATTGTAAGCCCAGCCAAGCCACTTAAAAAACCAAGTTTCACAGTCAAGAGCCATCCCACATAAGACATACGAAAATCAAGTCCAAGGAGCTGTTATTATTTATATAGACACATATTATTATTACACAATATACCTCTATTAGTATTCATATAGACACAAAGCATGTAAAATAAAAGGTAGTGTAATGACATATATGTTGTTGTCATAAAGAATTGTAAATACTATAATGGAAGGGTGGAGTTGTTTTTTTATTGAGATGAATTTGACATTGAAGAGATGATAAAAAAAATAATCAATTTTGTTTTTGGGGAAGCTGCAGGCCCTACGCTGCAGCCATATCTTAAGTGTTAGAGCCGGTTCTACGCACTTGGGTCTCTTCTTACCCCAACTTGAAGTTTACAGATCTCGCAATAAAAAATAACAAATTAAAAAAAAATACTGGTTAAGCTAGGCTTCAGCTGATCCTGCAGGTGGCTCTTAAGTTGGTGTACGCTTCCATTGTTGTATGAACAGTTGAATCACCAAATCTTTTAGTTTTTTTATTGTGATGAAGCAAAAGAAAACACACCAGAGAAGAACATATAAAAATAATAAAAGAAATTCAACAAAACTTCTGTGATATTGAAAATTTTTTCGTGAGGAACACTATTTGAATTCACAGTAAAAAAGTAAAAACACTTAGAATTCATAGTGTTTTCTTGAGTTTTTTAGTTTTTTTTTTATTCATACGGCCTGTACTTTGCTGCTAGTTAATATTTTTATATTTTATTAAAAATTATTTATTTAGATTTTTTAATGTATTTTGGTAATTGAAAAATATAACAAATTAAAATTATATTTTTATGATAATCATAGTTATCTAACCCAATCTGGAGATTGACCCGGCCATAGGGCAGGGTCTTAGGTTAAACAGGTTGAATCGGGTCAAACAGGGAAAATTTAAAAAAAAATGAGGTTTTAATATTATATATGAAAAAATAAAGAAACAATTCATGTGAATATGTGCTATATATGTTGTAAACAATTAAGTTTGAATGATTATTTCAAATGTTATGAACAATTAAGTTTGAATTTTTTTTAAATGTTGTAAATAATTAAGTTTGAATGATTTTTTCAAATATTGTAAACAATATAGGCTATACATTACCAGGTAGCAGGACCCAATATTATTGATGTTTTTTGAAAGTATTTTGGACTTGACTTGATATCTAGACCCAACAACACTAGATCAAGTTACCAAGCAAAACTCAACAGTTTTGGCAGAGAAGATAACAACCCTTGCTATAATTCTTGGCAAAAAATACAATAGAGAAACGCCTCCAAGTTATTACAGCCTCCAAGTTATTACAGTGTTATTCACAGTAAAAATAGTCTATGCCTATAATATCGTCCACAATGCAATGTATCTATATCAATTTTCATGCATTTTAAAAGAGCTCAGCAAAGAATAAGCCAAAACCGTGCAATCCATAATAAAATCACTTATAATCTATGGTAGAATACTGAGCATTTTAGTTATAGTTAATAATAATGTTTGTGCATCTATCCTACAAGGGGATTACAATTTGTTTGAATTAAAATAAATACTTGGAGAAGTTTTTGGTATTGTTATCAAATCTATAATCCACTCATTTTGAATTTTTTTTATTAAGATAAATTTTCATTGCAAATAAAAACTAATGTGTATAATAAAATAAATTACAAATTGTATATGTTTATAAATAATAACTAAGATGATGATCTAAATCAAATATTGAATTGAAAGATATAAAATATGTATTATGATATTTAATCTTTTGTGATTTTAAAAAAATATAAAATCATGTTTAAAATCTATTTAAAAAATGATTTGAATTAGATTTTCATAAGCCAAAAAAAAAAAAGCATCATCATTATCATCATAACAATTGAAGAATATTTGTTAAAATAAAAATAAGATTTTATAATTTTATTTAATAAGATGTAAAGAGTAAGTGAAATAGAAAAGTAGTTTTTTTAGTGCCAGAAAAAATAAGGAAAACAAAATACATGAAAGGTTCAAGAGTCATTCTCCGTTATTAAATTAGATAGAATATTTTAATATTGAACTTGATCATCTTGTTGCAAGAATAGTGAAAAAATAAAAAAAAATAACTCTAAAAAAAATAAAAATGGCAAAGTTTTAAATTAGACATATATTATCTTGGTATCTTATATTTCAGTTATTTATTTTATAATTGTATAGACTTATTATAATTATAATTTCAAGGTTAATTTCATCTAATTAAACTAGAATAAACTAAATTTAAAAGGGAGAAAAGAGAAAACTTAGGAATTTCACTGTTCATAACATGAACATCACTCCTCAATTACTGAAGCTCCATTTTAAAAGTCAGATCTTTTAGATGTTTTATTTCTTTTCATTTATTTCTTTTCATTTGTATTCAGGCCTCGTTTGGATTACAAAACCAAACATGCTCTAAATACAATAAAATTATATAATTATTAAGAGAGTGTTTGAAAATATGATGCAAACTATATTTTTAAAAATTTTAATTTTTTTATAATAACTTTTTAATGTTTTTAGATTATTTTGACATATTAATGTTAAAAATATTTTTTTATAAATTTTTTTTTTTATTTTGATGGATTTATAAATAAAAAATATTTTGAATTGCCACCACCATCGCAATCTCAAACAGGTCCTAATTTTGATTCAAGTTGACCCAAGTAAGATCCGAGTCATGATTTTAATATACTAATTTAGGCCATATTTTTTTTTTCAAAAAATAAAGTACAAAAATAAGATTTTTTGGGAGAAAAAATCAAAATAAAAATCTGAATGGAGTTGACTATCATGTTAATTAGATTAAATTAAGTTAATTTGAAATTGAATTTTATAACACCAGACCAGAGGTAGGGGTGAGTCGACCTGTAGGGTTTAATGCTAGGGCAAGATAGAACTTGAAAAATGGTTTTCTGTAAACGAATTGAACCTAGACTATGATTGCATTCATCTGTTTCTTTTTTCTTTCTTTTCTCTTTACGATAGATTGCATTCCTCTGTGTACATGCAAGGCCTGTTCATGTACAGTTTTAAGCTTAAAGTCTGTCTTCGTAAAAACGTGCTTATTGTTATATGTTAAATGGAGGCGGCTCAAAATTCCAACGCCGTTGATGAGTAGTTACGGGCCTAGACAAATCTTTTCCTGTATAATCTGCAAATGTCAGAGCCTTAGATCTCTCATTGCTGAGAAAATTCTCCTTCATACTTGTCGTTGCCCCGAGGGCCGAATCCATCTTCAGTTCACTTGCATTTGATGCGGTATTTCAGAAAGCGACTCGACTTGATAGCTAAAAGCCTAACAAGAGTGCTTGGAAGCCATGGCAGTGTGAATGATTTCCAATTACTCAGACAAATTATTGATGCATGGATCTCTGTGGCTCCACTAGAGAAGACAACGAGTTCCATTGATACGGTTGCTATATCTAGTTGGACTATTTTGCATCCATTCGTAGAGCAAACAAGGCATGTTTCATATATATATATATATATATAGATGCATTACAAAGATCATGGAAATTAACAGGGTTACAGCTCTATGCCATTATTGGTTGATAGCCTTCTTCTCTCCCCTTCTTCAGTCGATAACGCAGGCCAACAGCAACCACTGCCAGTCCTAACAGAGCTACTATTGCTAAAGCGGATGCGGATACTTTCATCTTTTCATGTATCTGCAAGAACCAAAAAATATTCAAATTTCATAAAATACTAACGGTAACCTTTAAAAATCGAACTAGAACTTACATGAATCGGAGAATGCAAGAAATTCGTGGGATTTGGTGTTCGTTCAGCAACCAAAATGTAGAAAATCCCCATAACCCCCGTGTGCTTTTGAGTACTACTGTAGTAAGATTCAAGAACTAGATTCTCCCCAGCTGTTATCTGGATAGAGCCTGGTTCAGGATAACAGGTGGACATCCCTACTACGTAACCTGCC